GGAAGAAGTTTTGAAGTCGCGAGGAATAACGGGTGTATTTTGACCGGAGTGATTCGTCGCCACTGCCGACCGGTCCAAGTGATCGAAGTTCATAGTATAATGGTTAATAATACTCTTGAATTTCTAAATAAAGGTCCTGCGCGTAATACGATGCAGTGCAAAATGACAACTGACCGAAAAATGTAAAACAGGGTTACCGTTCATTGTTTATTGCAATAAAATCTAATGACCTCTGTTTCGTAATTCATTGTTTAAAGCAAACAAGGACAGTGTAAAATCCATTATTTAGCAACACAATTCGACCACTCACATAAACGTCATCATGATGGAAAAGGGAAAGTTCGCTAATAATGGTATGTCGGTTATTCCATCGTTTCCGTGGTACAATTTAGTGGTCCACTTTGCCAGAGCGCTTAGGTTCTAGTGCTGATCACTGCTCAATGGCATCAGTCACGAATATCATACTGATGACTATCGCATATGTGACAAGTGAAGGTGAAAAGCACACCTGGTAGTCTCTTGGAGCATGCTTACATATAGTGATATCGTAAATACAGCTGTATTACGAGCTGGAGACTTCCTGTACACGTTTATATGGGTTGCGAACAAGTATCAGTTTAAATATTTTAGCATACTAATTTATTAGTTCTCACGGCAAGATAAATCATGCATGCAGACTGTATGTAAAAGAAGTTAAAATACTCGCTTCACTCAGGGCATTTAATCGGCGGCTAGTTCTGAAAATCGACTGCTCGCATATTTTGGCTCAACGGGTTTCGACAGACACATGATTCGACTTACCTCAAGTATAATCAACTTTCTTGAAACTGGTGTTTCTGATCTTCCGCGACTCAGTGAATGCCTAGCATAAACAAATCATCAGCAATATATCCGCTAGCTTTCTGACGAAAATTATTACTTACTCCCTAGGTGTTTCGATGCCAAAATCTGAACAGACCTTTTCCAAGCTGTACGACCTCTCAAGCGAATCGGCTAAACAGAAACAAGATTCTAAAAGTTTACTCAACTGTTGAAATATACCGTCGAATTTAAGTGATATATAAAACTGTTACTGTAGGCTCAATAAAACCGTTATAAACCCG